ACCTCATGGCAGCCGAACCTGGGGTGGCCAAGAAGTGCTGCCCAGGAGGGAGCAGTGGAGGATCGTTGTAGAAAAACACGTATTGGGAGAACCAGAGACTATTTCTGTTTTCCTTTTTTTAGAGATTTTTGCTCTAGGGCATGTGTGATTGCCAGCGAGACAGAGCGATAGAGAGTGAGACATCACCTCCTGGGGAGGATGGCCATGCCACCATCCTTTCTCCTCCACTCTCCTCTTGGGATGTTGGGCACATGCGCTTGGCATGATTTTCAAGCTACTGGTTCTGGGACTCAAACTGTGGTCAGCCATGTGGGAGTCCAGCGCCTCAACCACCACACCACCTGCTGGCCCCCCAAAGATTATTTTTATTTAGGGGATTTAAGATTTGGCTTCAAGGAAGATGTTGGAATCTGAAAACAAATTCCCTTTGGGCAGAATTTATTAAGTGTTGGCTGTTGGTAAAAGAGTTAAATAATGTATTTTGGAGTCAAAATGTCTCTACCGTGCGGTTCAGTTGACATGAAAAAGTGATAGAACAGTTTTCTCACTTCACCTGCAGTGTTTCATTTTGTGTACCTCTGTGCACATAGATTCCACAAATGTTCAACAAGGACTTAAAGGGCTCTGCCTGACTTTAGGTACTGGGTAGATATGGTTGAATGAAACAGACTTTGTGTTGTATCCTTAAGAAGTACATTTTATCTGAAGAGTGGTAGGACTGATTTTTTTTTTTTTGATTGGCACATTGATGATAAGACACAGGAGTATTTTTGTTTTTCAGAGTTTTTCATTCTTAACGTTAAAAATCAAATTCATTGAACTTGTATGTCAGCAGTTCAACGTGGTCTGTGTGCTGGTATGACTGACTCTCAAGATATCTTTGTTTACATACTTTAAAACCTAAAATTAAACGTTGCTCTCTTTTCCTGCCTTTTGTTATTTAAATCTTTGACAGTCTTTTCTTCCCTATATCAGCAGCCTTGTATTTCCTCCCTTCCAATCTATTTTCCATCCATCCACCTGTATTCTTACCCAGATCTGATCAAGTTACTTTTCTGCTCAACATCCTTTGGAATAATCTTAAAAGGCCTTACGGATTCTTTGCTCTGGCTGCAACTCACCTTTCTGACCTCATTTTATGGCTCACTCTGAAATGCTTTGGATTTTTACACTTCTGTTCCTTTTCTTATCCTTTGCTTTTTCTGTCCAACAAAACCATCCTCCGTTCTGGGCCCAATTCAGATGACACCTGCTTGCCACAGATTTAATTATAATTATATCTTAGTGGTCCTGCAGCACTTTGATCCTGTTAAAAATGCTTCTCAGAAGATACATCAATCTATCCATCTTGAGAGAGTCAGAAAGAAAGGTGTGCCAAAATTTAACCCAGTAAACTGACATTTCAGACTGACATTAAAGCATAAATGCAGGGACCAGCAGATGGCATAATGGCTCAAAACTCACATTGGGCACATATGTTTGTGTGCCCAAGATCCCGAGAGAATGGAGAAGAAGGGATAGCGGCGTGGCCATCCTCCTTGGGAAGGTGATGTCTCGCTTTCTGTCTGTCTCTCTGCCAAATACACAGGCCCTATACCAAAAATCTCTCTTAAAAAAAAAATTATCTGGAAGCTTGCTGGAAATGCAGACTTCCAGGCTTCACCCCAGACCTCCTGAATCTGCATTTAAAAAAAACAAAAAAACAAAAAAATGTTTCTTTTATGAGTGAGAGGGAAGAAGAGACAGATCTCTGCCAAATACACAGGCCCTATACCAAAAATCTCTCTTAAAAAAAAAATTATCTGGAAGCTTGCTGGAAATGCAGACTTCCAGGCTTCACCCCAGACCTCCTGAATCTGCATTTAAAAAAAAACAAAAAAACAAAAAAACGTTTCTTTTATGAGTGAGAGGGAAGAAGAGAGAGACAGAAATAGCATCCCCAAAAGAGTCCTGACACTGTGATTCACCCCCAACCTTCAGCCAGCCCTGGATTGTGGGAGAGCCTGTGCCTGGCATCCTCAGGGTGGTCTCTGGCAACTTTCCCATGTGGGGTTACCTCACTGAGGGCTGGGTTTCACTCTTGATCCCTGAATCTGCATGTTAACAGGATCCCTAGGTCACCCCTAGGTGACTCCTAAGCACATTAAAGTTTGAGGAGCTCGGGGTTAAAGCATGCGCTAGTGTAAATGCCTAATCTGCCTGTCAGCGAATGGGACTTACGCATCCTCCTGGATCTCTCCGGTATGCAAGGCCAGCCAGGAGACCTAGAAGGGAGTGGTCAGGTCAGGCGCTGAGAGGTGGAAGCTTGGGAACTGCACTTCAGCCTTCACGGTATCCGCTTCTGCTTCTCTCTTCAGACTGAACACTCGTATCAGTATTAAAACCGTTCATAGTTATTTACTTTCTCCTTTGTAGGTCTTTCGATGGATTCTCTAGTGCCCAAAAGAATCAAGAACAACTTTTGACATTAGCAAGCATTTTGAGGGAAGAAGGAAAAGTTTTCGATGAAAAGGTTTACTACACTGCAGGCTACAGCAGTCCTTTCAAATTGCTTAATAGAAATAATGAAGTGTGGTTGATTCAGAAAAATCAGCCCTCTGAAGACAATGAATAAGAAAATGGGGAAAAGTTCCATTGCCAGGGGCAAAACTCCTGTTCAATACAGACTTCAACACAACCTATAAATAAAGTGTGAATCTATTCTATTTCTTCTCCTTGAGAGTATGACAGGTTGAGCATCCCTAATCTGAAAATCCAACATCCAAAGTGTTCCAAAATCCCAACCTTGCAGGGCCAACATGATCCCACAAGTGGAAAATTCCACACCTGACCTCACGTGATAGGTCACAGTCAAAATTGCAGTATAAAAATATATAAAACTACCTTCAGCCTGTGGATATAAGGGTGTGCATGAAACATAAATGAATTTCCTACTTAGTCTTGAATCCTAGCCCCAAGATACCTCATCATGTACAGGCACAGATTCCAAAATCCTAAAATAAAATCCAGAATCTAAAACCCTTCGGATCCCAAGCATTTCAGAGAAGGGCTATCCTCAACTTGTACTGTGACTTGAGCTCATTTCCAATGTGCCTGAAGCTGTTCTATCTAGATGCAAAGATAACGATGACATCTATACACACGTAAAGTGGTCATAGAGAGGATCCAGGGAAATGTCATGTTCTGTCTCTGTCACTACATCACAGCCATGTTGCCTGTTGCTGCTTGGATTTGTATTAGCTGGATATTACCCTCTCCAGATCTTACCAATAAAATAGTAAGATTTATCCCGTGTGGAACTACTAGCCTCTCGGCCCCGGAGAGGTGAAATTCAATGGAACACAAAAGTCAGGTTATCTCTTGCAACCGCCATTGTTCCACTCTCTGTGGAGCCCTCTGCTCCACCTGCCACTGTCCCCACTGCACAAGGAAATTCTCACCTGAAAGTGTCCAGAATATTTTGTGACAGAAGGTCAGGACGTCCTATCTTATTTGACATTTAATAAAGGTATGCTTTTTGAAGAAAAGGAAACAAATATATAACTTTGAAAACTTGCTTGAGTTGGTAAAGTATTTCATATCATATTCTAGAGGTTGCATAAAAAAAATGTTCATTAATTAAGGAGGAGGTTGCTGCAACCTCAGGGCAGAGAGAAATCCTCACCTAATTGTGTTGGAAGAAGCTTGTCCTGGAGAAGATAGTCACATCTGGATACCTGGAAGCCTGTCACGGGCAGGACACTAGCCCCACTGTGGGCACCTGCCAGATGAAGGCTTTAGGAGGAGAGGAAAGCAGGTGGGAACTCAGAAACTGCCCGACAGCTAAAGCCGCCGTGAATGGCACTGCAGGTTCCCATCTTGGCGTGTTTAAGAAAGCCCCACAGGCTCATTTATCAGGAGATAGTCACAGAGCAGATCAGAGTATCCAGTGGATGAGAGGATGGGGCTTGATGATACAGAAGGTCCCTCCAGCCTAACATCATACTACGGTATTCCTTAAAATTAATCTCGTAACCTGGATAGAGCGAACAACGTTCCTGGCTGACAGCATCCATGGCTAACATCTGTGGGTGGCCATCTAGGTGCCCTGTCCTACACGTCACTGAATTTTCACATTCAACCTTCACAACAACCCTGCGTGCCACATTCGGCATCTCTGTCTCACAGATGAGGAAACAGGCACAGCGATGGGAGGTGACTCATCCCGGAAGGGACTGTGAGGGTGGAGGCCGATTGGAGCCCAGGCAGTCTGGCTTTTGAGTGCACACTGAGCCACACGCCCCACAGGCAGCCAGCCATTCAAGAGTGCAGCTTCCTCAGGCGAGTGATGGCGTGCTAGGGTGTGGTGGCGGTCCTCCTGCACAGACCGCACTCACGTGATGGTGACCTTGCACCTTTCTGACAGTCATTTCTGATAGAAAACAAACTAGATTTCTGGTTTTGAAATTACTACAGATACACATTTTTTTAATTGCAGGCCATTATTTTCCTAAAGTATTTGAGTTGCTCACTGAATTTATTGATTCCTTGCATTTTTATGCTTCCCCCAAAAGTGAAATTTATAGCACATTTGCCATCACTAAGCAGGGTGCATCCTAACCCTCGTACTGATGAAGGTCTACACTGCTAACTTCCACTGTTTTGAGGCAAATATTTCTAAATACAAGGGGACACGAGACAAAGTGTTCTTGGAAAATTTGAACTAAAATATGAGTTTATTTTAGCTCAAAATAATTGAAATCCAAGCATAGTTATTTTATAATGTGTTTTGAATACCCTTTATATCTATCCTATGTAGTCTTTTTCTCAGACATGCATCGCTTATGAAATAAATTCCATTTTAAATGAGAGACGCATGTATCTGATGACCACAATTCAGTTGTAATTTGAAACATGTTCAAGGGGGAAAAACTATTTTGCTCTGTTCAAGGTATCCCATTTTCCCATCCTCTTCCTGAAATCATAAACTAAAACACTTTTAAGCCCTAGGTCGATCAGTCCAGAGAGCATTCTCACATCAGTGAATCAGTTATTTTAATCCTGTGGCTGACACCAATTATGAAATATCCTTTGCGTTAGCATTTCTTATGCATTTTTCTCTGGCCTGTAGAAAGTAAGGGTCTAGGTTTTTCCAAGGCTGAGCCTCCCACTTTTGCTGTTGGCCTTGGCATGGCTCCGCCAGCGAGCTCCTCCCCCCTCCTCTGCAGTCCATCTGCACAGGCTCCATCACTCTGCTCTCCACCAGGCTCGGATTTTGCCTGCCCATCCTCCCTCCTCCAGAACCTGCTCCCCCTAGACCCTTATACAGAACAGCAGTCCCATCTCTCCCTTCCTTCCTTATCCAGTTTCAGGGACCAGGACAGGAAGTTAGGGTGGGCAGTCCCCACCCACCACCATACTGCCCACAGAGCCACCCCACATGTCTGAAAACCATTTAAACTTGGTGCATTCATTCATGCCTTTCTAGTCATTGCTTCACTCCCTGAAGGTCTAGCTTTTCCCTCGAAGCATCTCACTGAAATGTCACTTATTTCCATTCATTAATTCATGATGGAGTGCCCGCTGTGTTCCAGGCACTAGAACCGGGATGTGTGTTCCAGGCTAGGATCTGGAATGTGGTGGTGAGTAGATATGCTCCCGAGCCTGCACTCCCTGGCTGCCTGTTCACCGACTCTATCCACATC